GATTATTTATGTATCCTGAATATGACCTGTAGGCCACATCCATGTCATTGAGTAACAATTCTGCTTTTATATCTGTTGTTGGGGCGAGTAGCTCACTCATAAGTTCTTTAAGATTCTCTCCTCTATTCTCTGGCACCCCTTGGAAGTGCAGGACCATATTAGCCTTATCCATTTGCACTTGTAGCATCTGATCTTCCAAAGAAACAGTTTTCTTTTCCAATTTTTGCACTTTCTTCCTCACTTTCTGCGTTGTCTCAGCCATTTCCTTTACTTTCTCAGCATCCTGCTTCATTACTTGGATCAAGTCTGTTATTTGCGTTTGTTGAGCAGTGATGCTTGTTACAACTGACAGCTGCTTTTGTTGCGCTGTAATATTCGCTGTTACCACGGACATCTGCTCTTTAAAGGCATTTAGCTGTTCCAGTAGAGGGCGCATGACCTCAGCCATCGCCTTCGTTGTCTCACTGGTCGTTTTCGGCTTCGGGGACTCTAGTTTCGTTTTTAAAAGTTTCTCTTTGTCTCTGTCCCTCTTCCCCGCCATCTTTTTCCTGTTTGTTTACTTTTGCGAAAAAAATTTAAAGTCTCTGAATATGCACTTAACTGTATAGCTCGATTGGGTGAGTACTTCTGGGCAATCACACATTTATTCTTCCGCCACCCCCCCCTTTTGCTCAGCGATTTATGCGCATGGGAGGCGTCCCTCCCCCGCTCGCTTCTGCCGTTCCGCCGCGTAGGGTAGGGAGCATCTTTTCTTTTAAAAATCGTTTCTCAGTTGACTCACGTTCATAATTGGTCTTCCGACCCTGCTTCATTCATCATTTCTCACGCCCGATCTCCTGCACTTGACCCAGTTAGCTTCACTTGTACTATTCAGTCTCTCGGCTGGACGAACCACTGGAGCAAGGGGGAGCCACAATTCTCTGGCATTCAGCCATCGAAGAGGCTACCCCCTCAAAGCTCCTTGGCCAGGGTCCCTTCGCCAGGCCCCTGGGGGGGGGTTACGAGCCTGCTCACCCCCTCCCTCCGCCGGAGCACGGAGACACCCCCGGGAGGTCCAGGAGGTGAATCCGTGAGCATGCCACCATCAACCGGAAGTTCTTCACAGTTGTACTATAGTGATGGTGGTCCAGACTGTAAGACAATGGTAAGACACACACCCCTTGCTGCATACAAAATCCAGGCCTGTGTGGGTATATTTTAGAGAGATGCCCACTTGAGGCTGCTTCTGGGAACTGGGACACTTTTGGATTCTTTGCTTGGAAATCAAAGGACAAATAACAGCTTGGCCACTCCTTTACATTTGTACATGTTATCTAATCATGCCTCACACATGGTTCTAAACGTCACAGTATTTCTTCCATGGGAATATGAGACAGGAATGTCTCCCTTTGGCTTCTAGACAAATGCCTGACCAGAAGTCCCAGTGCCTCAGCCAGCAATGGATTAATCCCTGCCCTTGTTTGCTAGAGGCATCAACGGCTCCCCTGGGATCTTTATTCCACATCCCAGAGCAATCTGTTTAGAAACATTTCCTGTTATTTAAAGACATAACACAGTGATGGTAAAAATAATAATAGCAATGTCATCATGAGCAAAGCATAATCAGGCGCTCACATTCAGAGGCTGAAGCATCCCAGATGTGGGTATCCAACACTGCCAATCACATGCAGAGAGTTGAGGCTTCTAGCTGGGCTGGTGGGGAGGGAGAAAGAGAGAGAGAGAGCGAGAGATGTTAATGACATGTGAGGTCACCTGTAATGAAGGGGGAATGTTGGTCATCATCTTTGCCGTTCTCAGGAGGCACCACTTACAGAATGCTTAGCTCATTCATCACTTGACTAAACATACAGAAATTTATACAGATTTGAGATTTTGTAAACAATTTCATAAACAGAAGCTACCATTCATTTATTTTATTTTTGACTACCTAGTATAACACCTTTCACCTAAACACCCTAAAAAAGGCCCCGGTCACATGGAGAATTTGCTGTGCAAAAGGCATGAATGTCGGGCGGATTTTCAGGGCGCGATCACACTGCAACATCTGGGAAGCGTAGCGCACCCGTGGCCAACCCGTGGTATCCCGCCGAAGATGCAGAGTTAAAAAGTACCAAGGAAAGTGCACTAGTATCTGGAAAACGTGCAGCACAAGTGGGCATCTGATCGCGGGAGCGCTAGTATCCCGTGACATCCGGCGCCCGTCCACATCCCGGCGCAAACTGGATGTTTTTTGTAAGCACATGCGCACAAACACGAAACTGAAAGCAGTGCTGCTCTGCGGAACTGCGTATGCGCACAAACGCGAAACGCTTGTGTGATCTCGCCACGCCGCTTCTTTGCCACACTGCAGCATCGACGTGTGATCACCAGGTAACAGCCGAAGCACAGAGACTCGGGCTCATGTGACCAGGGCCAAAATATGTTTCTCAATGCAATCCTAAGGCCATCCTTAGCCCCTTATGCCAGTGAAACTACTAGCATAAGGCTGGCATGATACAATATTGGCAAAACTACTAGCATAAGGTTGGCATGATACAATACCAATGTAAACCTGGTGCCAGCCAGCTGTGCCCGTGCAAGGACCAGCTATAATCTGATGGTGCAAAATATCAAATACATACAGAATGCCTCTGAGGCCTCTGACATGGCCACAAGTAGGAGCTTGATGCAAGGCTCCCAATCTAGGAACCCTCCAGTTGCACTCCATGCATGAATGGATGGGGAAGGGGAATGTATGAACATGACAACAATCTGCATTTGTTCCCATCACAGACAAACAGAGGTTTGTCATAATGTCTGCACATGACCACTGAGTGTCTAAGATTTCTACAAACAATTAAATGGCTCTGTGTCTTAGGTAAACAAGGAGCTGCGGTGGCTCAAGTGGTTAAGATGCTGAACTGCAGGCTGTGGAAGGTCGGTAGTTCCGCAGTTCGAGACCTGAGTATGCCGCATGACGGAGTGAGCTCTCGTCTCTAGTTCCAGCTCCTGCCAACCTAGCAGTTCGAAAGCAAGAAATTGCAAGTAGATAAATAGGTACTACTTCAGTGGGAAGGTAACAGCGTTCCGTGTGCCTTAGTGTTTAGTCATGCCGGCCACATGACCACGGAAACGTCTTCGGACAGTGCTGGCTCTTCAGCTTTGAAACGGAGATGAGCACCGCAACCCTAGAGTCGGACTCGACTGGCTTTCGAGCAAGGGAACCTTTACCTGTACCTTAGGTAAACATGCATAAAGGCATATGTCTTCTTGTTTAAAAGCATGTGGCAATTGAGCGTCTAACGTCCTTAAGAACACTTACATAGCCTATTACTACGTCTGTATGCCAAAGCACAGATCCCTTTGCTTAATAAAAGGATGACTGAGACTGCATTCATACACAGCTTTGAAGTTCTCTGAGCTTCTGGGTCTCTTGAACTGCCTTCCCTCTTCTGCTCATCATGCACCAAACTGAAGATTCCTTGGTTTAAAACTAACCACAATTTATCACAACATCTGCATCAGACCCTTTAATTAAATTGCAATTTGTTTCTTGCCCACAAATGTGAAATTTAACTGGGATTAAGCCTCAGTTTCCTAAACCAGCAAGTTTACAGTCTTGGTGCAGCATGCAAACGGAGGGAGAAGGGAGAACTTGAGTCTGCAGATATTTGGGGTATGCTTTGTACTTATCATGACTTGTTATTAATGCCTGAATGTGTGAATCAATGTGGCATGAGTGTGGAGAGCCGGCAACATTACAAAGGTGATTGGGATATGGTGGGTAAATGTGGTCATATTGTGGTGGATCCTACCCTTATCCCACCACTCCACTAAGTAAACTTTGAAGCCGTCCTCCAACTTACTTGGCCTTAGCAGTGGCTCTGTGACACTCCAGGATGCAGGGTAGAGCAAGGATGAGTCTTGGTGCAGCATGCAAACGGAGGGAGAAGGCAGAACTTGAGTCTGCATTTGGGGTATGCTTTGTATTTATTTGGGGTATTTGGGGTATATTTGGGGTATGCTTTGTACTTATCATGACTTGTTATTAATGCCTGAATGTGTGAATCAATGGGGCATGAGTGTGGAGAGCCGGCAACATTACAAAGGTGATTGGGATATGGTGGGTAAATGTGGTCATATTGTGGTGGATCCTACCCTTATCCCACCACTCCACTAAGTAAACTTTGAAGCCGTCCTCCAACTTACTTGGCCTTAGCAGTGGCTCTGTGACACTCCAGGATGCAGGGTAGAGCAAGGATGAGTCTAGGGTTTTCAGCTCTGGGTTGGGAAATACCTGGAGATTTTTGGGGGCGGAGCCTGAGCAGGGTGGGGTTTGGGGAAGAGGGACTTCAATGGGGTAGAATGCCATAGAGTTTACCTTCAAAAGTGGCCATTTCCCCCTTAGCACACCCAGTCCAGCAAATGGGAGGGGTATGAGAATATGGTAGGTCATGGATATGGTAGGATGATTAACTGTTTCCACCACATCTCATATTTGATCCTGTTCCAGGTAAGTTTTAAGGAAACTTCCAAATCCCCAAACTGCACCCACATTAACGAACTAGGACTGTCTCATCTATGATCTACACAACAAACCTTTTTGGAACTAAATGCGAAATAAAATAAAATAAAGTATCCACCTGATGAAGTCAAGAAACAGAGTAAAAAAGCCAGAATGGTCCCCAGAGAAAATCTGCTGCAAGACAGGGCCAAATGAGGCAATAACAGAATACCACTAGTGGTCACATACAGAGAGCCAGTTTGGTGTAGTGGTTAAGTGTGCGGACTCTAATCTGGGAGAATCGGGTTTGATTCCCCACTCCTCCACATGCAGCTGCTGGATGACCTTGGGCAAGCCGTAGTTCTGTCAGAGCTGTTCTTGAAAGAGCAGTCCTTGAAAGAGCTCTCTCAGCCCCACCTACCTCACAGGGTGTCTGTTGTGGGGTGGGGAGGGGAAGGGGAAGCAGTTTGTAAGCTGCTCTGAGTGAAGGGCGGGGTATAAATCCAATCTCCTCGCCTCCTCCTCCTCTCAACTCAGTTCAGTGCATCATCAGCGACTTACAACCTCTACTGGATAATGACGGTTCTCTTTCATACACAGTACTGGGGGCCAAACCTTTTCTTGTGCACAGACAGCCCCCCCAATCTCAAACGACTCCTCACCCACAATAATACATCTAATTTGAACATGGACACTGGTACCAGAGCTTGCAATAAACCCAGATGCCAGCTTTGCTGCCACATATACCCAGACAACACAATCACTGGACCTAAAAACATTAGCTACACTACACCATCTCAGGCTTATTCACATGCTGATCTTCTAACATTGTATATGCCATTAAATGCCAACAATGCCCTTTGGTTCTCTACACAGGGCAAACAGGTCAAATCCTATGCCAAAGGACAAATAGACAGAAAACTGACATAAAGAATCACAGTATTGAGAAACCTGTAGGAGAACATTTCAGCCTTCCAGGACATTCAGTGGCTGACCTCAAAGTAGCTGTTTTATTGCAAAAGAACTTTAGGAACAGATTAGAAAGGGAAATTGCTGAATTTCAAGTTATTACAACACTCAGAAAAATGGAATCCCCAGGACTTAACAGGGATATTGGTTTCTTATCTCACCACATATGCTAACCTCACCAGTCCCTCAGAAGGGCCATATGTCCTCTTCATTTTATTTTATTTCATATTTGGAATAATATAATAGTAGATTGTTATGTTTACATAATGAACAGTAAAATGTAATGTAATTTGGAATGGTAAATTGGAAGGTATTTTTCTGGTCTGGGGACAGGGGAGAAAACTCTACACAGCCAAACACCCCACTTCAAAGAAAAAGATGCTGTAAGGTTGCTTCCATGCTTGAGAGGAAACAGATGGATCATAATGACAGGGTCTCAGTTAATTACTCTCAGTATTCCACAATTAAGAAGGGTACATTTACACATCAATCTTCAATTCTGACATATTTATTTCCTTCACTATGCCCCCCCCCAGTTAAACCCAAATAAATGGTAACCATATAAACTAAGCTTGTTATTCCTGTTTGGTCCTTTAATCTGTTAAACATCTTCATTATGTTGTATGCTAATTTACTATTCACCCTCTACCTATATGTATGGACTGGTATCCTTTTCACTGTATCTGAAGAAGTGTGCATGCACACAAAAGCTTATACCTTGACTAAAACTCTGTTGGTCTTAAAGGTGCAGTTGGACTCAAACTTTCTTCTGTCTCATCTATTATCCACTTCTGACACTGCACTCCGCTGGACACTGGAGAAACAAAGTCTCCTTTTGGCAGCTGGTATAAGGCCCACAGCGAGGTCACTGCCTGGCCTCCGTTCTCTGCCAGTATAGGGGTGGTTTGTTTCTGGCCTTTCATTACTTCTGTCACAATGCAAATCATTTTGTATTAATTCAGTCTCAAACAACACTCTACAGTTCGTTCTGCTGCATGGCTGCGTACTTGCGGGGGTGTATAAAAGTGGATTCTGCAGGAGAGGAAGCAAAGGTTTAATGGAGTGGGAGTCAAGAATCTCTACGGGTATGGAGCCTGCAGACAGAGCAAGGTGAAAGGGACTGGGAACTGGGAGGTACAAGCCTACAATGATGCCAATATGAGGAACAAACAAGGTCTGACATTAATTGAAATTTGCAGCAATGGGAATTTCCT